ATTCATTGGGAATCTCAACACTCTTGTGGTCAAGAAGTCTGATGTGGAAGCAATCTTCTCGAAGTATGGCAAAATTGTGGGTTGCTCTGTTCATAAGGGCTTTGCCTTCGTTCAGTATGTTAATGAGAGGAATGCCCGGGCTGCTGTGGCAGGAGAGGATGGCAGGATGATTGCCGGCCAGGTTTTAGATATTAATCTGGCTGCAGAGCCAAAAGTTAACTGAGGAAAAGCAGGTGTGAAACGATCTGCAGCGGAGATGTACAGCTCCTCTTTTGATTTGGACTATGACTTTCAATGCAATTATTATCACAGAATGTATAGTTACACAGCACGTGTTCCACTGCCACCTCCTATTGCTCATGCTGTAGTGCCCTCAAAACGCCAATGTGTATCAGGAAACACTTCATGGAGGGGCAAAAGCTTCAATTCTAAGAGTGGACAATGAGGACCGTCTTCCAAGTCTGGAAAGTTGAAAGGAGATGACATTCAGACCATTAAGAAGGAGTTGACCCAGATAAAACAAAAAGTGGATTCTCGGGAACCAGCAGTTAGCGTAATGGCTATGTCGCTGGACTCCCACATAGTCAACCGCGGTTCACGTCCCGGACCCGGTGGCTTAAACACTTCCACACCACTTGCTGGCCCTGGAGTTAGTTTTAAAAGCTATTCTTGGGAACCAGCAGTTAGTGTAATGGCTATGTCGCTGGACTCCCACGTAGTCGACTGCGGTTCACGTCCTGGACCCTGTGGCTTAAAACTCACGCCGGGCGTGTGTGCGTGCGTGCCCAAGATCCCGAGAGGAGAATGAAGGAGAAGGGATTGTGGCGTGACCATCCCCTCTGGGGGGTGATTTCTCTCTTTCTGTCTCTGTCTCTCTCTGTCTGTCTGGCGAGCGCACGCGCCCTGTAGCGAAAACCTCTCAAAAAAAAAAAAAAAGTGGATTCTCTTCTGGAAACCTAGAAAAAATTGAAAAGAAACAGAGCAAACAGAGGTGAAGAATGATTAGTCAGAAGAGGAGCAGAGCAGCAGCTCCCAGAAGAAAGATGAGACTAATGTGAAGATGGAGTCTGAGGGGGGTGCAGATGACCCTGCTGAGAAGGGGGACCTACTGGATGATGACAATAATGAAAATGGGGGGATGACCAGCTGGAGTTGATCAAGGGTGATGAAAAAGAGACTGAGGAAGGAGAGGATGACAGAGACAGCGCCAATGGCGAGGATGACTCTTAAGCACACAGTGGGGTTTAGAAATCTTACCCATTATTTTTTTACCTAGGCGCTTGTCTAAGATCAAAATTTTCACCAGATCCTCTCCCTAGTATCTTCAGCACATGCTCACTGTTCTCCCCATCTTTGTCCTTCCCATGTCCATTAATTCATACTGCCCTGCGCCTGGTCCCATTTCACTTCTTTTGATGCTCCTAGTAGTTTTGTTAAGTCTTACCCTGTAATTTTGCTTTTAATTTTGATACCTCTTTATGACTTAACAATACAAAGGATGTATGATTTTTATCAACTGTCTCCAAAATAATCTCTTGTTACGCAGGGAGTACAGTTCTTTTCATTTATGAGTTAGTAGTTGCTTCCCTAACTGCAAAGGCAGTATCATTGAGTTGAGTAGCACCTGAGAGCAGCTTTGAGTTAGAAGTATGTCTTATGCCCCACATTAGAGTGCCTGTGGGGCTGTTCAACACAAATGTAACAGTGTATTTTTATAAAAGGGAGTTGGCATGTCAAATGCGTCCTCTAGAAAATAGTGTAGTAGTCCTAAGATTTGTTTTCTAAAGTTGATACTGTGGGTCAACCTGATGTTTGGGACCTTTTTTCCCTCAAAATAAAGAAGTCCTTATTAAACCAGGAATTTGGAGGGGAAAAAAAAAAGAAATGGACAAATAGGGAAAGCTATTTTTAAAAAGTGGAATAGATTATTTGTGAGTACATGTGAGAATTTTGATTAAAATTAGCGTCTCTCTGGTGAGAATGTAGTTTTTACCTGTGGCACTGTTCCTGAGCTTTTTTGAATAAAAAATTTCCTCTGTAGTTTAGCCTTAAAAGCTATATGCATCCAATAATGTATATATCAGACCATCAGAAAGTTTTTGTGCTTTTAGTATGTTTATAATAAAATAACTTCATTATTAAATATAATCAAAGGGCTTTAGAGCTGGAAGGAAATTGAAAAAACTTTTGATAGAAACCAAAGTTAAGAAACCTAATCCCACAGTTCTAAGTAATAATAGAGCTACAGCTAGAAGATTCCAAGTGTATGGTTCTTTATGCGTTGCTGAATATGTTAGACATGCAGTTGCTTTGATCAGGTTTTCAAGATAAAAAGTTTAGATGTCAAAGCATTTTGAAAAACATAGATGGTAAACAGAAGGCATTGCTAATATAAGCAATTATTTGACTAGTAATGTTTTTGATAGAACTACTGATGCTTTTCCCTTGTTGCTTTCTCAGAGCAAGATATGTGAATTACATCAAAACATCAGAAGTGGTCAGACTGCCCTATCCTCTCCAAATGAAATCTTCAGGTCCTCCTTCTTACTTTATTAAGAGAGAATCATGGGGCTGGACAGACTTTCTGATGAACCCAATGGTATGTATTGGGCGAAAAGAAAGCATTTTACTGATTCCTAATTTGCTTTTAGGCTGCTGAAAACTTCAGACCCCTGCGAGATTGAAAGCCAAGGTTAGATTATTGGATGAAAGGATAACTGAACAATTTGTGGGTTTCAGAAAAATAGTGACTTAGGGAGTACATAATGGAAAGCATGCAATGAGAATTGAACCGTACATTTAACATTGAAATGTGCAGTATAATTGGATAAATATTTATAATGACATGTTTTAAAATTCAAAGAGAATAAGAGAATGCAGTAGGTCATACATGGAGCCAAGGCATCTCATCTTTCATACTACATGTATTAGTCTGTTAATGAGTATACTGTCATTTGTTAGCCAGCCCTTTATTGAGGGCAAAGGTAAGATTTTCTTTCTCTTCTTTTGACATGTATACAAAGAAGTTGTTTTGTAGTCATTTAGGGGGTTGATATTATCGTGACCTAATGTTATGTTGCTCACTAATAATAAAGTAGAACACATAATTTAGAGACAAGTTACCTTTTTTTCCTATTTTTGAAATTTGAATTATTGTCTTAGAATTATTTAAGTTTTAATCGTATTCCTTACTGATACTGTTTAGACTACACGCAGAAATATTCAGGGGCCGTATAGCCTCTACAGAGGAATAAACTAATACCTAGAATTTGTTATCAGAAGTAAAGAGGTAGGAGGGCAGATTGGATAGGAGAAATCAGCAGTGAGACTCCAAAGCTTGTTCATCTTCCATGTTCTCATTTTTGGAGTTTTATGAAATTGTATTTAGTATTAGAGACTTCTATTATCACTTTTCAAAACTGATCTGTTAAAGTAGTTGTCTAGGGGTATATTTCAGACTCTATATGACGTACATAAATGAGAAGGGCAATATAGTGTTTTCTCTAAGTACCACAAGTCATCTGAAAAGAGCAGCCCAGCTGACCATCAGGGTCGCCAATCTCAACGCCAGACTGCAGATTGAAGAAAATTAATACATAGTCCCATTAGTAAACTATTTATGTTAAGTAAAACTAAAAACTCTGTAGAATTTGTGGGTGCCACAGATCTGAAGGAAAGTATTTGTAAGGTCTCAGCAAGCATCGATAAGAATCTTACACTCTGTGATATTCCATGACAGTCAGATAGCACCTTGTCATCGTCAGAACTGACTCAGTAGAATTGAGGTAGTTGCTGCTAGTCTTTTTTTTTTTTTTTTTTTTTTTGCTGCTAAGACTATATAACATTTTATCTTTAATTTCATCATTGGTGGTTAAGTGCAATTTTGATCTACTAACTATAAATTGGGAGAAAAACGTTTTCTGAATTCTTTTCCTTCCACAGGTTATGATGATGGTTCTCCCATTGTTGATATTTGTGCTGCTGCCCAAAGTGGTTAATACAAGTGATCCTGATATGAGGCGGGTAAGATGATTGCCCATCTGTAGACTTTTGAGCCATATTCTGATGCTTGTTCTATTGTGGCCAGATGGCTTGAGTTTTTTTTTCTACTTTATCCTAGTTTCCAAGACAAATTAATCTATAAATTGTGTTAACACACTATTATGTTTTTGGCATTTAATGATTTCTGTTGGACCAGATACATTTAATTGGTTCTGCCTGATAAAGGCAAGGGCAGTTGCATATAGCTAAACATTCTATTGTATTAGTCCTATCCTCCATGGGGCCTCATCTTAAATACCTGAAATGCATAATAATCCTGTTATGCCTAATCCAAATATTTTGCAGTGTTTGTTCTTATAATCTGTCTTTACTAAACTCTCTTCAGTGTAATACTCAGTTCATGTATTTGGGTATACAAAAGAAATTCAAGCAGACTGAAGAGGATAAATAGAATAGTGGCTTTCAAACTCTACCAAAATCATGCTGGTTCTGAAAAGGGGAAAGGAGTTGCTCAGTAGGATGCTTCAAGATGCTTAAGAGTTGCTAAGTAGTCTTGTGAATGCCAAAGTTATCCATTGTACATAGTAGAATTATTTACATGTTAACATCTTATTCATTGATGAGTAAACATTTATTAATCCATTTCTAGGTGTAAGATAGTGGGGATACAAAAGTGAAGCGTAAGCCATCCCCATCGTCAACAAGCTCATAAGTCTGGTTAAATGCAGGAAATAGAATGGATTTATAAAATAACTCTTCTTGCTCTCAGAGGATTTAGTACTTGGGGAGAATCTACGGTTTTCTTTTTTTCCTTTAAATATGAACATAAGATATACATAAAATAAATAAAAATGTTTGCTAAGGTAATAGGTGATTACATTTTGTAGACATCTATTTCAAGCTGGAATGTTATAGAAAGCTTTGCGGAAGAAGAAAGATTGATGATGTTCAAAATGCCTTATTGCTAAATTTTGGCATCTTTGTTTCAGTGTTGGTTAGGCCCTGGTGCTGTTCATGCAGTCCTGCTGCCTGTTAAGCCAGTTAGCTCTCTGTGGTCCAGTGGAAGGAAACCTCAGAAGTAACATTTGATTAAAAGTTTTTTTCCTTTCAAAGTGGTTTGCACATGATAAGCATTACAGAAAGTTGTTGATTCAAGAGCTTCAGAATTTATCAGATTCAAAAATAGAGTTGAGGATATCCTTTTGTAGGGACTCAAGGCATGTTACCATATACATTTAATTCTTGATTTGGGGGACATATTAACATATTTTATTTATGTTTATAATGTTTCTTTTCTTGACCTTATTTGTAAAAGCACTTTCTTCTTTGAACCCTATGAATAAATTGAGTAGAAAGCCCAAGTTAATACTATAAATGTTCAATTTGAAATAGTAAGTAATATATTTGCTACTTTTTAAAGAATTATTTTATTTAACATTATTTATTTATTTATTTTAATTTGACCAGAAAAGGACAGAGTGAGAAAGAGAGAGAGAAAGAGAGTGAGAGGGAAAGTAAGAAAGCAAGCTGCCAGGTCTGGGACTTGAACCACAGTTGGCCATGTGGGAGTCCAGCACCCTTAACTACCACACCACCTGCTGGCTCCTTTTTTTTTTTTTTTTAATGTCTGAACTAAAATCAACTTTAAGTTGATTTTGTAACTCATAAAATTCAGCAAAGCAGATATTATATTAATATTGAACAGAATTTTATTCATTGTTGGCTCAATCAGTGGAAGGACAGAAATTCAAAATAAAAGTGACAAATCCTTATCCCATTCTGCTATTGATTTGTCTGTAACATGTTTCTTTTCCTTTGCATGCTGTAATTAAGCCATGGGGATTCATAGATTTACCACTACGATTTAGAAATTAAGTCTTAGAAATACTGCAGTTGTCTTCCAGACACCACTGATACCTTGATATGTAGTTAAAAGATCGATGTTTTGACTATTTGCTTCTAAAAAGTGCTTGAACTTAAAAAAATACTCATTAAAACAAGAAGGAAGCATTTTAACCAGAAAAAAAAATAGATGATAGGACAAATATGATCAAATACCCAGTCTCAGAAAAAAATGTCATTTATTGAAACTTAAGGCAATCAAGCCTTAGGTAAGCACTCATGGAAATTTACTAAGAATCATACCGTTCAGTGGGATAAAGGTTGTACAGAGACCAGCTGTTGCTGATTAAGGGGGTTGGATCTCACATGGCCAACCGCATGATTCAAGTCCGGGATCCTGTGTGTGTGTCCAAGATTCTGAGAGGAGAAATGGAAGAGAAGGGATTATGGCTTGACCATTCCCCATAGGGTATGCTTTCTCACTTTCTGTCTGTGTGTGTCTTTCTCTGGCAAGCACATGACTCTAGCAAATAAAAAAAAGAAGAAAAAGAAAAAGGGTGTATGAGGCAAGGTTACAAAGGATATAGGCGGCATACTGTTGAGTACAATATTGCATCATTGATCAGAACCAATACCTTTTACACGTGTTGCTCCTTGCTTCTCCTTAATGGGAAGTGTTTGGAGTGAACCCCAGTGCCTGTCATATCACTGTGCTATGTCTCCCTGCAGGAAATGGAGCAGTCGATGAATATGCTGAACTCCAACCATGAGCTACCTGATGTTTCTGAGTTCATGACAAGACTCTTCTCTTCAAAATCTTCTGGCAAATCCAGCAGTGGTGGCAGCAAAGCAGGCAAAAGTGGAGCTGGCAAAAGGAGGTAGTCAGGTGGTCCCGAGCTGGCGTTCGCACAGATATGCAACACTGGGTGGCAACCAAGTCTTGAGGAAAAACCTTGTGAAGCAACTACTGTAAACTTGAGTCATCCTGAAAGCTGATCTCTTCCCACCGTTGTACATGTTAACTTTTTAGCACATGTTTTGTACTTGGTACACGAGAAAACCCAGCTTTTCACCTTTTGTCTGTATGAGGTCAATATTGATGTCACTGAATTAATTACAGTGTCTTATAGAAAATGACATTAATAAATTATATGAAGTACTATACATTATGTATATTAAAATAAGTCTTAATCGAGAAATCAGTTACTTTATGTCATTTTTTTCACTTAATGTTTCTTTTTTTTCTAAACAGTTTTCTTCTATCTTCCATTATCGGATGCTTGACATCCACTTTCCTGTTTGAAAGGAAATTGTTGTCATTTTTAGAGCAGATGCACCATTGGTTTTTTTGTGTGGCTACAGCTTTCAAACTTATCATCTCTGCCCTGCTGTTTAACAGTCTGAAATTTGAGGAAGAACCACATATTCCTGATGTAGTTGTAATTTTTATATTACAGTTAGTTTCAGAGTATGGATCTATGAATCAGAATAGATCCTATCAATATTTTTATTTTAGTTTCCATGTGTAATGTTAATTTTATATCTATACTGAGTATCAGCTATGAACTGTGCTCCAAGGTAGAATACAAATACAGAGGAGGATAATATCCAAGTGCCTGTCCCCAAGAGAGCTTATTATGTGAGAGGGAAGACAAATAATAATAATGAATCAATAGCCAGGGGAAAGGAGTGGAGTTGCACAAGGACCTTCTAGAGCCTACAGATGGAAGATCAATCTAAGAGACCCATATTATAATGTTGGTAGCACAAGTAGCTCTTGTAGCCTCTCATCCTTCTCATCATTGATTCCAAGTCATTAAATTATAAATTACTACTTCCCAAATAGGACTATCTTGGAGATTTTTTTTTTTTTTTAATTTCAACAAGTTACACAAATTTTACATCTTTTTCTTTTGGCTTGTCAAAATGAAAAAGAACTCTCAAACCACAGTATTGCTTCTATTAGAGGGTTTCTATTCTCACCTGTGTTAAGGAACTCTATTGCTTGCTGGCTTGCTTTTCTTAAGGAGATATGCTGAGATATTCTTGCCTCAGCTTCCTAAGTCATTGGGGCTACATGGGCACTAGCACTAGCATACCCAGTTCTTTTTCTTTTCTTTTTTTTTTTATTAGAGAGGTTTTTGCTATAGGGCATGTGCGTTCACTGGAAAATAGAGACAGAGACAGAAGTGAGAAATCACCCCACCCCCCCACCCCCCATGGGGGATGGCCACACTGCAATCCCTTCTCCTCCTGTGAACTTGGGCACACACACACATGAGCCCAGCATGAGTTTAAGCTGCTGAGTCTGGGACTCCAACTGTGTTTGAGTATGTGGGAGTCCAGCAATGTAACCTTTATGCCATCTTCTGGTCCCCATGCCTGACTCTTTCAGAGTCTTGCTATGTTGCCTGTGCTGGTAGCAAACTCACAATCTTTTTAGCCTCCTGACCTTAGCAGCTGACTACAGGTGTGTGCCTCAATGCTTGACCTTTAAGATGAGCCAGGACTCAAACCCAGGTCATGTAGCCTCAGCCTGCCAAGTAGGTTGACACTGCCTGCGTCTACCAGTCTCATGAGAGAGTGCTGCCTTGACTGGTCTCCCTATTGTTTTCTCTCTCTCTCTTTTTTTTTTTTTTTCTTATTGCCAGAGGTCCTATGTGCTTGCCAGAGAGAAAGAGAGACAAAGCACTCCCTACTGGGCATGGTCATGCTGCAATCCTCTTTCCTCCATTCTTCCTTATCAGGATTTTCAGCCTTCCTGGATCATGCTTAGCATATTTTTCAAGTTACTGAAGCAGGATTTGAACTGTGCATGGCCATATGGAATCTGCCTCTCTTAACCACTGCATTATGAGACTGCCTCCCCAAATCCTATTGTTTAATCAGCAAAACAACAGAAAAAGGTTGGTTCCAAACTGTACTTTCTCTTTTCTGTTAGCTGCCATTTATTATTTTAAAATGAGGTACATGAGTTTTCTTTTTATTTTATTTATTTATTTACTTTTACTTCAAGTTCTTTTATTCATTGAATCACATTATTTAGCTTGCAAAGTGAATATTCCAACATGTGTACATTTCTCCCCAGTCCAGTTGATAGTACTATAAAGTTATCTTCAACAGATAATACCCTATTTCTTTGTCCCATTAATGCTTTGCTTCTCTATTTTTCTTCTAAATGTCCTTCCTCAGACTCTACTCCTTTACCCACCCTCTTCTCACACTATATCTGGTATTCACAACCATTTACTCATAGGTTTTCTTTTAAAGAAACAAGTTCTGGAACAAGATGTTTTATTAACCGTGTCTGTATTACCTAATGTTACAAACTGGTTAAGCTATGAATGATTAGGTAAGTTAACTGGCTAATGATAGAGCTAGGTCTTTTTTTATTTACTCATTTATATTTTAAATTTTTAAAAAGATTTTTGCCATAGAGCATGTGTGCTCACCAGAGAGACAGAACAAGACAGACAGATGAAAAGCGAGATATCACCCCCCAAGGGGAAAGGCCATGCTGCAGTCCCTCCTCCGTTCTCCTCTCAGGACTTTTGAGCACACATGCACATGTGCCTGATGTGACTTTGAAGCCACAGGGTCTAGAACTCAAACCCTGATTGGCCATGTAGGAGCCCAGCAACGTAACTGCTACACCACCTGATGGTCCCTCTAGCAATGATTTGTCTAAGAAAGAAACTCTCTTATATATAGATTCATGGATATATATACTCTTTGCAGCCTTGTTTGCAATAAGAGAGAATTTGCAAGTTAATGTCTATCAGTAGTAGTCAGCCATGTGGGAGTGTAGTGCCCCTAATCACCATGCCACCTGCTGGCCCTCAGAACTAGGTCTTTAAAACAGTCATTTGTTGAAAATTTATAGCTATCTAGCTCTATGTGAATATGATTGATTCATATAGCATTCTAATTTTTACTTTAAATTCATGTTGCAATTTAGCGAAAAAATAAGACATTCTCCTTTGTAATTCAAAAGACACCGACCATAGTAAAAGTCATAGTTTCATGACTGAATAGCCAGAAAGCATGTTTAAAAACTTCATACTTTGGGGATCAGCAAGTGGCTTGGTGGTTGAGGCAATGGACACTCCCACATGGCTGACCGTGGTTCATGTCCCAGACCTGTGGCTTGCTTTCTCACTTTTCCCTCTCTCTCTCTCTCTCTCTGGTCAAATTAAAATAAACAAATAAATAAATAAAATAAAATAATTCTTTAAACAAAAGTTTCATACTTTCTGTTGCCAATTTTTGCACATGAATACCTAAAGACCAACAAGTAAAGAAACATTTCCAAAGAAATTACCATTTCACATGCTAATTAAAAACTTGTGGAGGGACCAGCAGTTAGCGTAATGGCTATGTCACTGGACTCCCACGTAGTCAACTGCGGTTCACATCCTGGACCCGGTGGCTTAAAACTCATGCCAGGCACGTGTGCGTGCATGCCCAAGATTCCAAGAGGAGAATGGAGGAGAAGGGATTGCGGCGTGGCCATCCCCCCTGGGGGGTGATTTCTCGCTTTCTATCTCTTTGTCTCTCACTGTCTGTCTGGGGAGCACACGCACCCTTTAGCAAAAACCTCTCCAAAAAAAAAAAATATTGTGGTTATGGGGCCATCAGGTTGTCCAGATGCTAAGGTGACTAGATATCCCCTAGCTGACTGAGTGGTTCAAGTACTGGACCAGTCAGCTTGAAAAACATACTGGGCACGTGTGTGTGTGTGTGTGTGTGTGTGTGTGTGTGTGTTTGCCAAAATCCTGAGAGAAGTATGGAGGAAAGGGGATTATTGGTGTGGCCATTAACACCCCCTCGGGGAGTGATTGCTCACTTTCCTTCTCTCTCTTTGTCTCTCCAGTGAGCGCTTTCATCCTATAGCAAAAACTGAAAAACAAAACAAACAAAAACCTTTGTGGTTATATAAAATAGATTCTAATAGCCTCTGAGTCTGTTGTCCCCTTATATCACAGAAATGTTATATCCACTGTATTATATATTGCAATCTTATCTTTTCATATAGTCTTTATCAGATGGCTAGGGTGCTCCTGGTATAGAGATGATTGTGTGTTATTAAACATGGGGCTCAATTCGGTCCCTAGTTAGCCTCTAACTTGCTTCCTGACTTTGAGCAGATCACTTTTCTTATGTGGACCATGTCTTATTCTTTGTTTTAGCTTTAGCATCAAGCATGTAGCACAATAAATCTTTGGTGAACAAATAAATAAATGGTCCTTAAATTTCCTTATCTATAAATTGAAGAATTTGGATTAGACCTGTAAATTTCTTTTCAGATTTCAAATCCTACTATAGTTTAAACTCAGTCCTATTATTTCCCACCCTGAAGAACCAGATGACCAGGACCAGCTTTCCTTGTTTCACTTCCTTGGGTACTGTCTACTGTTTCCCATTGGGAATAAAGTCTTGTTTAGCTCTTTAGGGCCTTTCTTAGACCAGTTTCTATTTTAGGTGTAAGTTGGTTTACTGTTTTTAACATCTGCTTTAAACCTGGGTAGAGGCTTTGTCCAAACAAATCCTTAATGCATATTCTTCTGGGAAGTTCTCAGTACCCAGGGTCATTTCTCCAGGGTAGCACTATTGCTCCCATATTTCAGAGTTTTTTAAGTATCAAACTTCAGGATTCATCTCAAATCTGGTTAACATTTTGAAAAGATTCAAAGTAGAATAGTATTTTATCATTTCCCCTTGCATTACCCCTCAGAGGAGGGAAGAAGCAACCACATAGCATACTTTTCCAGTAGCTAGAAAGGTTTCAAGGACCCTGTGACAAATGTCAATAAAGGTAGAGCTTTTCATTTAAATAGTCACTCAAACTTTCAGAAAGCTTGTTTTAGTGTCAAAGTTTATTTTTTAAAAATCTATTACATAAAATATTTTTATTAAATATTGTAAAAAATATCACTTTTTATTTTTGTTTATTGCCTTTCAAGTCACATGATTTTGTATGGTTACAATCACATTTGAAAAACCTTTGTGGTTATATAAAATAGATTCTAATAGCCTCTGAGTCTGTTGTCCCCTTATATCACAGAAATGTTATATCCACTGTATTATATATTGCAATCTTATCTTTTCATATAGTCTTTATCAGATGGCTAGGGTGCTCCTGGTATAGAGATGATTGTGTGTTATTAAACATGGGGCTCAATTCGGTCCCTAGTTAGCCTCT